CTGTTATACAAGGCTAGGCAGGGCAAGGCTGATACGCAAGGCTGCGCGGGTGAGCGCGAAGCTTCTTTAGAAAATATGCACTTTCTTTGGAAATATGGATTTTACCGCATCACGTGTACTTCTCGTCATCGCAGTTGTGTTGTTGTTGCGAGTGGTGCATGGAGGTCGCGAGTTCGAATCCCAGCACATGTAATTTTGCCAGCTTCTGTGGTATGCTTTGGCACATGCTCATTTTGAAGTTGACTGGTGTTGTGTTCTTCCTTATGAGAGGAATGCTGGGGATAATCGTCAATGTTAATTTTATGGCGCGTGACAAATTTTAACCTAGCGTACAACGACAGTTTGCGGACCTTAGATCTTTCTCTTTTGTGATGTTCCGAATGGCCTCGTCAGTGGCGCTGAGAGCTCGAGCTCGGATGATGGGTATAAACGGGGTCAACGAACTCCCTCGTGGATATGTTCCCCGCCCTGGGATGAAATTACCGCAAAACCTGAGGCGCATCCAAGGCTCTCCTGTGCTGCCTGGTGTGCATCTGCCGATCCCTGCTGGAGAGGCTGTCGAGAGAGGAGCTCATGCAGTTTGCACGCATGCGCAAAGTAGTGTGGGGACGCTGGTCGAGATAGGAGATGGGCGGATGATGATTCCGAAGGTTCGAGTGGAGTTGAATGAGGATGGAATCTTCACTGTGCGCAAAGATACTTTTGATGACCCAGCCACTGTGCGAGAGGCTCGGGAGGAACTGTTGGGGGAATGCGAGAAATTGGCTGCTTGCGATTCGAAATTTGCGTTGAAATGGGTGCAAGCTTTGGCGAGATGCGATGCTAAGGATCTCCATTGGATGCCCGATGCCTTAGCGGAGATCTTGACAATTTCTGATGAGGAAAAGGTATCTCTTTTGGAGGAAAGGAGTTTGGTAGCTCGAGCGAGACGGGTTGGTGATATTATTCGTGGAAAGATTGGTGATGGTGAGAAGAATAGAGAGGATATCGATCAGCTGATCGATTTGGGGAGGAAGATCCCTCTTGGGAATACTGGTGATAGGACTCGACGGGTGTTTGAGAAGGAGTTAACGAGGCTAAGTCAGCTTGAGCCGAGCTCACAGGAGTACGCAGTAACAAGACAGTATCTCGACGTTGTCCTCTCATTGCCGTGGACTTCTACTGAGGGCGTCGCCGATCTCTCTGCAG